CCTGTTACCTCCCCACTCCTTGCCCTTAATTATTTTCTGAGTGACCCTCAACCTGTCCTATCATCATCATTTCCCAACCAAACTACTGGTCTTAACCTCCTGGGTCTGGGGATGCCTCAGATCTCTGGTGCAATCTAAGACATATCCCTTCCTCATCTCAGTGTCACAGCTGTGTCATACATTTCCATATGATAGGGTTATGAATTTCATTAGGACATTTTCATGCATGGATATGAGCATCTGTGTCCTTAAGTTCTTTGGTTTGTTCTACTGATTATCCATACTGATCCCCTCCTGTGAGTCTATGTCCTATTCTCTACTAGTCTTCTTTCTACTTTATGTCTTTTAAACAACAACAACAACTGATATAGATGAACATAATATGGACAATTATGGAGATGGGTCTTATGTTTCTTTACCCTTTTGGATAATCTGAGGACCTCATATTGCTTCCAAAGTCCAGCCACTAGCCCACCACAATTCAATTTAAAAAGTTTGTGCATCATGCAGAAAACTAAAAGTGGACTGTCACCATGCACTAACATTAACTCAAAAGACCTAACATCTGCACAGCTAAAGACATAGCAACCAAACTAGAAAAGCAGCTAACTAATTGGGAAAAATATTTACCAGCAATATATCAGACAAGGGGCTAATATCCAGTATATACAGGGACCTCAAGAAATTAATCCCTCCAAACCTAACAAAATGGGCAAGGGAACTAAAGAGAGACTTCTCAGAAGAGATAAAAATGGCAAAGAAACCCAGGAGGAAATGTTCACTGTCCCTGGTTGTAAAGGAAATGCAAATAAAAACAATCCTGAGATACCACCTTACCCCAGTTAGAATGGCTTGCATCCTAAATTCAGCCAATGACAATTGCTGGAGGAGATGCAGAGAAAGAGGAACCCTACTGCATTGCTGGTGGGAATGTATACTAATACAACCACTTTGGAAAGCAGTCTGGAGGGTCCTCAGAAAACTAAATACAGACCTCCCTTATGACCCAGCCATACCACTCCTAAGAATCTATCCTGAACAACAGGAACCAGGATATAAGGACACATGCACCTCCATGTTCATTGCAGCACTATTTACAATAGCCAAGATATGGAAACAACCCAGATGCCCCACTATAGATGAATGGATCAAAAAAGTGTGATACCTATATACAATGGAATATTATACAGCCATTAGAAAGGACAAAATAATTGCATTTGCAGGAAAATGGATGGAACTAAAAGAAATCATGTTGAGCGAGGTAAGCCAAGAGCAAAGACACAAATAGCACATGGTCTCCCTGATAAGTGGATGTTAAATCTAAAATGTAAGGATATATGACAAAGTAAGCAAGACTTCAGAAACAAAGGACCTCCACTTAGCTGGTTGAACCATTAAAAATTACCCCATGCTGCTGACCACATATATGGTATATATGTGCACATCAGAGAAAAACTAAGAGGAGGACACAGAAACAGAGGGAAACAGGGGAAAGCATACAACAGCGGAACCCATCAGCTGCAGTGGTTATTGATCAAAATTATGCAACTAATGGCAGCAATGGGAGGGAGGGAATGAGCAGGAAAGAGGGAACAGCTGACACTAAGCAAAAGGAAAGAAATGTACATATCACCCAATGTGGAAGAACTGTATTGTCAAAGCTCATAGAATTCATAAAATTTATAGACCTTGATAAAGACAATTTGCCCCACAAAGGTTAGAATGTGTTTGTGACTTTAAGTAAGTATCACTATCTCACAATACTGTGAAATTTGTGAAATTTATGTAATCACTTAATCACAATAAAAATTGCTATAAAAAAGTTTGTATGAAACAAAGACAAAAGGTAAAGCAATGCAACAGTTGTACGCACAAGACACTAGTTTGGAAATTAACTTTACAACATGGGGGAGATGGGGGGAGAGGATCGTGGGAACAAAAGCGAAGGAAGGGCTGACCATGTTTGACAAGAAATCACTCATTATCTTACTTATGTAACCGTAACCCCTCTGTACAACTCCTTTACAACAAAATTAAATTTTAAAAAATTGTGCACTAGCCCAACCGTTGGCAGTTTTTAATGATTTCCATGTTCTGTCTATCATGATATGAACTGGAAAGGACCACTGATTTAGAGGTGTGAATTTCACAATATTTTTATTTTTATTTATTTATTTATTTTTTGGGTCTGGTCGTGGGGCCTGAACTCTGGGCCTGGGCGCTGTCCCTCAGCTCTTCAGCTCAAGGCTAGCGCTCTACCACTTGAGCCACAGTGCCACTTCCGGCTTTTTTTTTTTTTTTTTTGCTTATGTGGTGCTGAGGAATCAAACCCAGGGCCTCATGTATGCAAGGCAAGCGCTCTACCACTGAGCCACCTTCCTAGCCCCTCACAATATTTTTAATACATTTTCACAATACTGTTTTATAACAAAAATTTATAACAAAATATTCTGCAATATTTACCTGTGAAAAGGGGTTTTGTTCTTTCTTTTTGTGCCAGTCAAGGGGTTTGAACTTAGAACCTGGGGGCTGTTCTTGAGCTTCTTCTGCTTAAGGCTAGTTCTCCACCACTTGGGCCACAGCTCCACTTCTGGCTTTTTAGATGGTTAATTGGAGATAAGAGTCTTATGGACTTTCCTGCCCAGGTTGGCTTCAAATCATGATCCTTAGATCTCAGCCTCCTAAGTAGCTAGGATGTATAGGTGTGAGCCACCAATGCTTAGTAGAAAAGGCATTCTTTTTTTTTTTTTTTTGTCGGTCCTGGGGCCTGAACTCTGGGCCTGGGCACTGTCCCTCAGCTCTTCAGCTCAAGGCTAGTGCTCTACCACTTGAGCCACAGTGCCACTTCCAGCTTTTTCTGCTTATGTGGTGCTGAGGAATCGAACTCAGGGCCTCATGCATGCAAAGCAAGCATTCTACCACTGAGCCACCTTCCCAGCCCCTGGAAAGGCTATTCTTAATCTCCCTAATATTTATAAGCTTACCTCTGAAAATTTTCTATGTCTTTTTTTCTGACCTTGTTTTGTAGCAAAGTGAAGTGGAGAAAAAGCTCCCTATTCAGGATATCTTGTTATTTAAATCTTTCAAGTTCTCTATGTTGACAAGCCCATACTAAAAGCATGAGAATCAAATGTTTGCTAAACAAGTTCATGTGATTAAAAATATACATTGCAATGGGCTTGGTTTTTAAATGGTCTTAATTAAGACACTGAATGATGTCATCACATTCTTACCAACTAGTCTCTCTCTGCTGTTCTTGATGCACAGGGGACCAACTGAAGTAGTGGCAGCATTCCTAACTTTTAGTCAATTGGATGGGCAATTCTGAACCCTTTTGTAACTTTACTCTAAGCACACTGTATATAAACACAAGCCTATGTTCTCTCATCTATACAGGTTTTATATTAGTCTGTCTAAAGTACTGTTCCTTTAAAAGGAGTCCTGGAAGTGGAATGACCTTTTGGAATAATGAAATGGGTGAGTCTAGTACACAGGCAGGGCTTAGGAAAGTCAGGTGTAAATTAAAGTAAGAAGCATTAAATATTGGGTTTTCTAATTCAAGTTAATAAGTCAATCTAGGTAAGGAGGACATGGGTCCACATGTCCTCCTGCTAAAGCCACAGGACAGGACACCAAACACAGAAGTAAAAGAAACCAACAGGGGCTGAGAAGGTGGCCTAGTGGTAGAGTGCTTGCCTAGCATGCATGAAGTCCTGGGTTAGATTCCTCAGTACCACATAAACAGAAAAGGCCAGAAGTGGTGCTGTGGCTCAAGTGGTAGAGTGCTAGCCTTGAGCACAGAGAGACTCAAGGACAGTGCCCAGGCCCTGAGTTCAAGCTCCAGGACCAGCAAATACTACTACTACTGCTACTACTACTACTGCTACTACTACTACTAAGCAGTACAGATGGAAAGGAATGAATTTTACTATTTAGCAGAGATTGGCATCCCTAAGTAGCCCTAAAAATTGTTTTACAGGTTTGGTTTTGGCAGACAAAAGAGAGAGAGAGAGACAGAGACAGAGACAGAGACAGACAGAGAGACAGAGAGAGAGACAGACAGACAGACAGAGAGAGGAGAAGGGAAGGGGAAGGAGGAAGGGGAGGAGAGAGGAGAGGAAAGGACAGGAGATATATAGAATGTTTCACTACTTCATTTTCCACCTTTGAGATAGTTCTGTGCTGACCATAAAAATGTCAAGAAAAGGGCTGGGAAGGTGGCTCAGTGGTAGAGCACTTGCCTTGCATGCCTGAGGCCCTGGGTTCGATTTCTCAGCACCACATAAGCAAAAAGAAAAAAAGCTGAAAGTGGCATTGTGGCTCAAGTGGTAGAGCGCTAGTCTTGAGCTGAAGAGTTGAGAGACAGCGCGCAGGCCCAACGTTCAGGTCCCACGACTGGACCCCCCCCAAAAAAAAATCAAGAAAAAATGGCCTATCATTCACAGTGGGGAAGGAAATATGTCCTACCTCATCTGGTCTTCCTGCTCTCATGCCAATGGTCTGTCACATAGAAACCTTCTTAGCCCACCTGACTTCTGATGAATAAGTAATCACATTCCAAAGCAGCTTCATCCTCCCCGCTATCCAGAAACAAGCATGAAGCTGAAGACTTATGATTCCATCAAGGCCGACAGGGTATACTAGACACGGTGATGTGTCTTTATCCTCAGATACTTGACATCATGTGTCAGCCCTCATTGAGGAATAAAATGAAAGAGTCACATAGAAGATATTTCCATAGGAACAGATAGATAAACACTAACACACCAGGAAAAGGAAATCCTGTTTCCCTTCCACTTTGGTATTTAACCAGGAAAATATACTTGCCTAATTTGATAATTGCCTGTTTATTAACACAAACAACAACAAGGAAAGAATGCCATAGGTAATGACAGCTGACCCTTAGCAGGGTATAAAAGGGCATCAGGGCCAGAGAGACTTCCAAACTTTCCAGCCACATCTCCTTGAACACTAACTCAGAACCTCCATCCTCCGACACCATGGTCAACTCCTGTTGTGGCTCTACCTGCTCTGAGGAGGGCTGCTGCCAGCCCAGCTGCTGCAGGCCCCAGTGCTGTACCTCTAGCTGCTGCCGCCCCAGCTGCTGTGTGTCCAGCTGCTGCAGGCCCTGCTGCCAGTCTGTGTGCTGCCAGCCCTGCTGCCGCCCCAGCTGCTGCCGCCCTACCTGCTGCATTTCCAGCTGCTGCAGGCCTTGTTGCCAGCCCAGCTGCTGCCGCCCCAGCTGCTGCATCTCCAGCTGCTGCAGGCCCCAGTGCTGCACCTCCAGCTGCTGCAGGCCCCAGTGCTGCACCTCCAGCTGCTGCAGGCCCCAGTGCTGCATCTCCAGCTGCTGCAGGCCCCAGTGCTGCACCTCCAGCTGCTGCAGGCCCCAGTGCTGCATTTCCAGCTGCTGCAGGCCCCAGTGCTGCACCTCCAGCTGCTGCAGGCCCCAGTGCTGCACCTCCAGCTGCTGCAGGCCCCAGTGCTGCATCTCCAGCTGCTGCAGGCCCCAGTGCTGCACCTCCAGCTGCTGCAGGCCCCAGTGCTGCATTTCCAGCTGCTGCCGCCCCAGCTGCTGTGGTAGTTCTTGCTGCTGAGCTCTCTGACCTGCACCCTCCTAGTCTTCAGCAGTCAACATTCTTAGTGGAGACCACTTGTGAGCTGAATCTCGGAGGCCAGTTGTAACACTTTAGTTCCCCCTGGGGTTCATGTGGGCTTCTAAACATGCAATCTCTTCTCCTCCCCATCTTTCTCCGAAATAAACATGATTTGAACTTTCTCTGAACTCTATCAACTATTATGTTACTCATATCCTCACCCCCACTGTGGAAGTATTTGCTCTTTGACATAATACCTCAAATGCTGTATTTCTTACGTTTTAAATAAATCTTAATTTTTCAAAGCATCTAAACATAAAGCTTTGTGTCCCTCTTGCTGTTCCTCTTGAATTGTTGCCACCTGCCCGTCTTTTGCAGCTGACCTCCAAATAATGAAAAGACCATTGCAGAGGACTTCATATCCCTCATCCCTCCTTCCAATTCAGGAGGATGGTTTCATGGCAGCAGCCCCCCATCCGAAAGCATTTTCTCATTGCAGAGCAAGCGAGAGCTTGCTAGGAGGTGAGTGTAGTGTACACAGGCAGGGCTCAAGAAGGTTTAACACTCTAGGAGTTAAAGTTCCTAGAAACAGAGGCCAAGCAGTGCAAAGTTGCTCATGGACATCTGCTCCTGGATCAAGTCCCCTCAGTGGACGCCTCCCACTCCAAGAGCCCAGTGGTCCTTGGTGGGATTGGAGCCCAGATTCCTCCAGAGGAATTCTGCTCATTATATCTCCGTTGGTTTCCTCCCAGGCCTGGATCACTTCTCTAGTTCCCTCCAGATCCTCCTTGTGAAGGAGGATCACAAGGAAACCAATTTGTCTCCATCCCTTTGTGTCTGCAACTGCCTCAGCGTGTACAGAATCTGACACCGTATCACAAGAACCTCAGGGTTCTTGCTCTTTCACTTGTTTTCATACAATATTGGGAGTTGCCACAGCATTGAGCCAATGCTTGTGTTTTCTGGCCACCATGCTTGCAAATTATCCAAACACTTGTCCTTTCTTCTTCCCAATGTGGGACCATCTTTGTATCTAGTCATCTCCACACCCTTTCTTCAATAGCCATGTTAGTTTATTTGAAGGCTGTAGGGAAGGATGACCATGTTAGTAATTCTCATCCCAAAGGACTCACGCTAGAAGAGTGACTTGCTCTATTACATACGTGAGTTGTACAAGGAGTGCTTCATTATGGCATTTCCATAAACACACACCATGTACATCTCAACCTTCCCTTCCCTATCACTGTCTTTCCTCCCTGTTCCTCTCCTCTTCTTCTTCCTTCTTATACTGTTGGCGATGTACCACCCCTGTGGAAATCAGTATGGAGATTCTTCAAATAGCTAAAAATATGTCCAGCTTATGATTGCACCATATCACCTGAATATGTACCTGAATAATTATGTTTACTTACTGAATGGAGCTTTTTTTAATACAACAAACTTTCTCAGAAGAAATCTGGAAGAAACTGGGGGAAGCAAGTTAGAGTCTTAGAAATTGGATGGACAAATGTGGTTTCAGTGAATTCTACCAGATCCGGCCCCCAGAATGTTTTTTTTTAAATGTTTTTTTTTATTGCGAAGATATTGTACAGAGGGGTTACAATTACATGAGCAGGGAAATGAGTACATTTCTTTTTTAATTTTTTATTTTTTAAGTATTTTTTATTGTGAAAATACTGTACAGAGGGGTTACAATTGCATGGGCAAGATAATGAGTACATTTTTTTATCAAGCATTGTAGCCTCCTCCTTTGTTTACCCTTCCCATCCCTTCCCAGCCTCCCCCCTCCCACCAAAGCTGTAAAGTTCGTTTTCGACATGACAACTTGTACTTCTCATTGTTGCAACGGGTCCACCTGTATCCTTATTTAAACGATTTGTTTTTCCCCTTCCACTCCACAAATTATACTGACATCAAATACAGTGAAAGCAGGGGTTATACTGTGGGGGAGGGACATACAAAGCAACAAAGAAATAATCTTATAAATGCGTTAGAAACAAATGCATGAGAGGAGGCTGCAATGCTTGATAAGAAATGTACTCATTATCTTGCCCATGTAATTGTAACCCCTCTGTACAGTATGTTCACAAAAAATGAAAATTAAAATTAAAAAAAGAAACAAATGCATGAAAGAAAAAAAACATTTAAATACATATCTAGGGTTCATTTTCCTAACATCACCTCATCTGACCTTTTCTGCTTGACTCATACATATACTAGATATTGCAAATAAGGGAAACCATGGGACCTATGTTTCTTTGGGCTTGGCTTACTTCCACAGAATGTTCTAAAGCGCAACCATAGCTCTGCCTCTCCTAGAGGAAATGTGGCTGAACTTCTGCAGTCCCATTTTTTTTTTTTTTTTGGCTATGGCCACCCCAGGGTGGAAGGAGATATAACAGATAATATCAAGTTAGATACTAGCAATTGTCTTTAAATTATTTTTGTGACTTGCAATTTAATTTATGTACATAATACTATAATATAGAGGCTTGTTTAAATGGAGTTCAACATTAGGATTCTCTGAGGAGCATTGAAAATGTCTCAAGCCCTGGCCTGACCCTAAACCAAATTAAAACAAGATTGTCCTAGGCAGAAACCAGGCCTGGACAGTTTTAAACTTTCCCCAAGTGATTGTATCATGCAGCCAACTGTCAGAGCCACTGGTCCCAGCAGTCATGATGTGCTACTTCTTGGACTATAATAAGAATGTACTCTGCCTTTGTAATTGTGATGAAATGTTTTTCCTAACCTCCATAAATCGATATGGAAACATCACCATTAAAAATCAAAAAGGTCTTTTTCTTCTTTGTTTTTGTTTATTTAGTTTTTTCCTCAGCCTCTCATCTGTAACAACTCCAGTGAAAAATCTCCTTTTCCCTTCAAGATTCTCTGAGGCCTCACAATAAAATTACTAAAATCTTTCAAATCCCAGCTTTTCCCACACATGCTTACAAATTAAAAACCTGTAAATCAAAGGCAATTTAGTTTGATAAACATATTACAAAGGAGTTGGTCTTTAAATGCTCTTAAGTAAATCAAGCACACCATCAGGGTGTTAACCAACTCATCTCTCTCTTTCTGAGACATCTTTGGACTTTATAATGAGAGTCCTGAGTTCTGAGATACTCTCTCAGTCCTGGGAAGTCAGAGACAATTGGTAGTGCTAGCCTGAAATTGGTTAATAGTATTAAAATAACCATCAATACAGCTCTATATGAACTAGCATAGTATCTCACAGACATAGGCCAAGCTAAAGATGTATCATTTGTTTGAATTCTAGATCATAACAAATCTATGGTAACAAGTTATTTAGAACACTGCTCTGCCCCCCACCCCCAGTGTTGGTGGGAGTTGAGTTGACTGAAGTTACACTGGGGACCCTTACATGGGATGTAGATGTTCCTTCTCTTGATAGTTAAAGAAGTTACATGGAAGTATGCATTTATCAACGCTCACAGTGTATGAGTTTTACTCAATCATAAAAACTTAAAACTGACTGACTAGAAATGTTAATGAAGGAATCTATCAATAGTTCTACCAAATCACCACGCTAGCTAATTTGTATAAACACAATTTTTTGAGTGAGCTGACACTCTGATGAGTTCTTCTGATGTGCCTTCGCTATAGTGTATTATAATTGTGCTTGTGTGTGTGTTTCACTCATGTGTGCACTCTCCCAGGAAAGAAACTCTATATCATTCTCTTAATGGTTGGCAACATGGGTCTCTCTGATCACCTATTCAACGCAGCTACAGTATGAGCAAAGCAGCATCGGGATCTAGGTGCATGTACAAAGCTTGAATGAACACTATAAATGCAGAAGGGTCAAGAGGCTTCAGCACCAATACACTCTAGGAGTCTGATAGAAATGCAGGGCCTGGGGCTTACTGAGCAATCAGAAGTTCCACGAGCATGCCAAGACATCTGCATATGTGTAAGGTGTCCGGGTGATTTGGATGCATGCCCAGGTTAGACTACTTCCCAACAGAGAAGTGATATAATAATTCAAGAAGGTCAAATTTGTCAAAAAAAAATCTACAGACATTTGGGATCACTTCCAAAAATTAGTGACATGGGTTTCTCTAGTCTGGAAGTCAGTTCTGAAGAGATGTATATAATAATTAGTTGATATATTTGGCTTCAATGAAGTAATACATTTAACTCATAAGATTTTAAGAAGATTAAAATGAGACTGTGTCTTCAAGTACCTAAGAGATCAGAAAGAGAGAGACAACACACACATACAAGACAATAATCCAGCAATTTAAGAAATTATGTGACAGGGCTGGGAAGGTGGCTCAGTGGTAGAGCGCTTGCCTTGCATGCTCAAGGCCCTGGGTTCGATTCCTCAGCACCACATAAGCAAAAAGAAAAAAGCTGGAAGTGGCGCTGTGGCTCAAGTGGTAGAGCGCTAGCCTTGAGCTGAAGAGCTGAGGGACAGCGCCCAAGCCCAGAGTTCAGGCCCCACGACTGGACCCAAAAAAATTTTTAAAAAAAATTATGACAATGTCATAATACCAATCAGATGACTTTCCTGACAGCATTTAGAAATACAGAACATGATGCAAAGTCTGAAGTGACCAGCAAAACCCATTCCATGGATAGAGAGGTCACTAACATCACTAGTGTATGGACCAATGTCCCTTTCCTCATTGCTCACAAAATGATCCAGTTGAAAGAATGTTTTTCTCCCACCCGAAACAGGCTAAATTATCAGCTGGCCTTCTTTCCCATTTGAGGAAATGCATACTAATTTATGACTGTCCAACTCTCCTTGAGTGAGAGGTTGCAGGGAGAGAGTAGAGAATGTAATTTAAACACAAAGTATCACATGACAGTGCTGGTGGTGTGTGTGTGTGTGCACACGTGTGTGCAATAAAGACACTGTGTTCTGGAAGATGCCACCCAGTGTGAGTCAGGAAGAAAACCAGATCAGTAGAATGTATTACAACCAATGAGACAAGACAACGTTCTCGCTGCCAAATTAAACCATAACGCAAACAAACATTATTGTACAATCTGATCATTGCTTCTCTATTCAGCAAACAAAAAATAAGGAAAACTTACTGACAACAGGAACATGGACAGAGAATGTAAGAACATTTCTAAACTCCAGTCCTTTAGTCTCCTGGACACCCACCCCAAACCTCCATCCTCTGACACCATGGTCAACTCCTGCTCTCAGGAGGGCTGCTGCCAGCCTACCTGCCTGCAGACCACCTGCTGCAGGACCACCTGCTGCCACCCCAGCTGCTGCAGGCCCCAGTGCTGTACTTCTAGCTGCTGCCGCCCCAGCTGCTATGTGTCTAGCTGCTACAGGCCCTGCTGCCAGTCTGTGTGCTGCCAGCCCAGCTGTGGAGGTTCCAGCTGCTGCCGGCCCTGCTGCTGCCTGCGTCCAGTGTGTGGCCAGATCTCCTGCCACACCACTTGCTATCGCCCTACTTGCGTCATCTCCACCTGCCCCCGCCCCATGTGCTGTGCCATGCCTTGCTGTTGATCTCTGAGGCCTGTAATGTTGGCCACACTATGGATGTCTTCATGAGTCACACGAAAGTGCATCGTGGGCTCCTGGGGAGCTGGATGCTTACCTACGCTGGCCTCTTCTGTCACAGTGGCATTCAGAGTTGCATTCTGCTGCCTGTAGGAAGCAACAGGCACAAACACATTAGCTAAAGGATCTTAGCCCAGGGTCAAATGCATCTCTTTGTGGAACAATCCACAGTTAGTGCTTGCTAACTGTGACACTGTCATAGAGCATCGTGTTCTCAATGAACACCATTTCCTACGGTGATATTGAAATCTCCTGATTCACTTGTTATTTGGTTGTCTCTGTGTGTGAGATTCATCTGTCAGTTCAGACCAAGGTCTCACTCTCTCCAAATTCAAGGGAGAGTTAAAATGTCTGGAGATTTATGAACTTCATGGCAACCTTCTTGTGAAAAATTTAAAACTCTTCATTATCATGTGCTCACCATTTTATCATTTCTCAGCAAAAACTCCTAATTTTAGTTCATCACATTATTGAAGTATCTCTATTTTTCTGGGTCAATTTACTCCTTCACTAAGGCTTAATTCACTTGAGCAGCTTTTCTGCCCACCATAACTCAGATAAGAATGGTCCCTGTGACTTGAAAAACATGTAACATGTACAGTAATATTATGTTTATAAAAATATAAGGGCTTACCAGTTTTTATCCATAATCAAAAAATGTATTAAGCCATTTTAAATTCAAATTTTCTAAGCATGATATATTTTCAGTGTTATATTTACAAAGAGTAAATTGTTTGAATTAAGAGTAATTGTTTGAGTTTTTGAGTCATAATTTTGTATTTCTGTATCTTTATAGAAAGCAAATAATCCTGTTTTTATTCCAAATAGTAAACCATGAGTTGCTATGAATAACCCATCTACATTTATTTTCCCCTTATCTTTTTTCCCCTGGAGTTTTGCTATTAGTATGTAATAGTTTTATAAAGGAGTTTTATTGTGACATGTCCATGTATGCATAAAATGTACCCTGATTTAAAGGGGTTAAATTGTCAAGGGACAAAGTGAATAGATGTTGACATACGTTAAATTTCACCTCAACATACGTTGGAGTTATAGCCTTCAAATATCATGGGAAGATCCTGCAGACATTTTCTGTCTCAACCTTTTCCACTCATTCTATAGAGCACAGAACTGTGTCTTTTAGTCACTGGGATTAACAGACCCTTCATCCTCCCATAGCTTCTTCTCTGACAACTGCAAATTACAGGGTGTGGGCTCTAGATTTAATTTGGTGTTTTATTAGCCTGAACGAAATCAAAGAATAGAGCTTTTCTATGGCTTTTCAGTCTTAAAGAAAATGAGGCCTGTAATTTCCAACTTTACAAGAGCAGAAACGAGATGGCCCACTGAATCTGGGTAATGAGAAGATGATTTGCAAAAGCATCAGTCATGTCAAGGGAAATTAGAGAATTCAGAGCACATAGTGACTAGAAGCAGATCTGAAGGCCTAGGCAATGACCGGATGAAGTGGCCAGAAGACTGAATGTCTTCTGTGGTGGTAACTGCCTTCAGGGAGGATTCTGGTGCTATAAAAAGTATAAAAATGATACTAGAGAGGTTATGATGGAAATAACAAAACAGATAAAATATTACAAATGGAAAAGTATGACTGGCATGATTATTTTGTGACTACCACCACTCTGTCTGTATGTATGCTGGGATGGATTTTAGGTGAATGCTAATCATCTTACTGTGGGATTGACTAAGCCCTTCTCAATAACAAATACGACAAAATATCAAGACACAGGGGGAAAAAAAACCAAGAGTCAACGTGTTTTAAGGAGATGTTTTGATTAAGGAACCTGTTGACACAAAAAAATGAAATACAAAAATACACAAACTATGGGATAGCTCTTAGAACTTTTGCCAAGAACCTTCTTACTATAGTTCAGATGCCAATTGTCTCCACCAAGTTCATATATTAAGGGTCCAGTCCTTGGAATGGTGCTGTTCTGAGGAAGGGGGACCTACAGTGAGGATGGAAGGGCATTGGGTTATGCCCTGGAAGGAGGTTGTGGGATCTCTTGTTTTCTGACCAGAGTGAGGGGGTTTTGCACTGTCATGGGCTTCCTTCTTCACGATGTCCTGCCCAAAAGCAATGAGGTCAACTGATCATGGACCGAAATTTCTAAAATTGTGAGCCAAAAGAAACCATACCTATTTATAAGCTGATTTGCTTGCATTCATCATAGCAATAGAGAATTGACAAATGTGCCTCTTTTTTCCCCCTTATTTTTTTTTTTTTTTTGTTCAGTTTTAGGGCCTGAACTCAGGACCTGGGCGCTATCCCTGAGACTCTCTATGCTCAAAGCTAGTGCTCTACCACTTGAGCCACAGAACCACTTCTGGTTTTTGAGTAGTTAATTGGAGAGAAGAGTCTCGCAGGGACTTCTCTGCCTGGGCCAGCTTCGAACCACAATCCTCAGATCTCAGTCTCCTAAGTAGCTAGAATTACAGGCACGAGACATCAGTGTGGATGTTTTTTTTCCTCTATTTTCAATTTGTTCCAAATCTCTGGTGACTCTTTCTTTGAAAGAAAGACCTTTAGCATTCAGCATAAATATAGCAACTGTCTTTATGGATACTCATCACTCAGTACTGGGAGTCGATCTTCAACACTGTCTCACTTTAATCTTTTCAAACAATCTCTCTCCCCAGAAATTCAAGAGCATTTTGGCATTTCTTTCTTTTTTTTAAGACACATATAATTCTTATTTAAGTTTTGAATTATCTTTAAGTAGTTATATAAAGGAATTGTCATTTAACAAAGCAGTTTATGAATACAATGCATCTTGATTCATTGATGTTCAACATTCTCCCATCCCTCTCAACCCACCCCTTACCTCACTTTTCTTAATTTTGTAGGATATAATTAGAATTCTTGACTGCATTCTCTTCCTACTTTTCTATTCACTCATCTATTCCTCTCCCCTTGGCTCCATTTCTTAAGACAGATTACTAACGGTAAAATGAAGCCAGGCACCTGTGGCTCATGCTTGTCATCCTAGCTACTCAGCAGGCTGAGATCTGAGGTTTGGGATTTGAAGTCAGTTGTTCAGAAAAGTCCATGAGACTCCAGCAAGTGGTACAGTGCCAGCCTTGAGTGAAAAAGCCAAGTGAGAAGATGTGGTCCTGAGTTCAAGCTCCAATACTAATGTATGCACACACACTCATACACATTACATTCAAATTGTATTTCAGGCTTTGGTATGCAAAGAGGAATAAGCATAGTCCCTTCCCTGACAGACTATTTTAGAAGGAGCCAATCAACCAGTGCATTTCTGGCAGAGAATGAAATCAACTTATGCCTACAACAGAAGTGCAGTGGAGGAAGGACTTTGCTTTGTGTAGGGCCAAGGAAGATATCGAAGAAAACCAGCCTTAAACTCACCAATAAAAGATGACCAGCAGAATTCTGACTTCATAAGAAATGCCCTGGCCTCAGACAAAGGCAATTTCCTGAACAGAATGTTTTTCTGTAAATAATTATTTTTACCTAAGTGTTTGTGGCACACACAAATAAATACTCCTTATTTAAGACTATAATCACGCGAATCCCTGATTTTGAAATTCTATACGGATGCATTTTCTGTGTAAGTACATGTAAGTTAAGTGATACAGATTTTATATTCACCTTAATGTCTCTAAAAAATTAGCCGTAAGGGATACTCCAAAAATTGCAAGTCTTTTTAGCTCAGAAGGTGGGAAAAACATTCTAATAAAATATCAGGAAAACAAGGCAATAAGATATCTTAATATTCTAAATATTAAGAATAGATAAAATATTCTAAATATTAAAAATAGATGAAAAACAATTTTTCTAGACCATTCTACCTCAGTTTGGAGGACAATTCTGAAGACAGAGCCAGACCAAGCTCAGATACTCTACAGTCCTTAAAACCATGGAGTTACCATTAACGGTTTCAGGGTGCACCAGGGTGCTGAGGATGAACACACCTTGGCATGTCCTAAGAACTTCACCAGCTCAGTGACCACCCAGAATGGACACGTGACTCATACGCTTCCTTGATTCTCATACTCACACAGGGGAGCTTACTTCCTCTTCTTCATTCTAGCATTCCATTTGATCAAAGCATGGGTTTACTCACTGGGGGCCCTACCTCCATCAGAAGCTTCCCTGCTTCATATCACAATGAGAAACAGAAAAGAGATGATGGCCCTCTTATTCACATGACACCCAGAGACTGATGTCATGTAATATTGCAACCAAGAGAGAAATCTAGCAGGTGACTCATGAGGTAACACACAGGAAACATGAAAAAGAGGAACTAATTCTTTTCTATGAATTGGTAGTTTTTACTAGAAAAATGCAGTTCATTAGTTCCATTTATGTCATATTAACCAAAGCAAGAACATTGTCTTTTCAAAATCACAGAAACTCCTTAGCTGAGTATAAAAGGGGACTACATGCAAGATGACTCCAAAACTTGAAACTCACTTTCCTGAAAACTGGCCCAGAACCTCTACCCTCAATACCATACTCAGCTCTTGTTATGGGGTGACCTATGAACTCTACCCTGGGGGGGGGGGACCGAAATACATTTCTGACCAATTTGTGATAAGAAAAGAATTTAGAAAACAATACTAGATGAGAATTGTGGAAAAATATTTAATACCTAATGTTGTAAATTCTATTGCATGAACAATAATTCAAATTGTGCAATGATATTAATCCTCTACTTCACTGACAGCATAGAACACCCTATGGATCTGAGATGACAGGTGGAAACTAGTTGAACCTGCAGGTGGTCTCAGCCTACAAAGTAGTTTTTAATGTTATGAGACTCTATGTACATGGCTTCCTATCTCATAGGGAACAGTGTCTGAAGAGAACAAGGGTCATGGAACACGCTCTAAGGTGTGGGACATTCCAATGTTTTCTAAGATGGAAAATGAACAACAACAACTAGAGAAGGTTAGAAGCA